ATGCGATTGTCGACCAATCCTGCCGACGGCTTTATCTGTCGCCGCCACCGTTATTTCTTGCTCATTAGCGAAAGCGCTCTCGCCACCGTCTGAAGCGCGCCCCCCGTGACGCCAGAACCTCTCCGAACTCCTATCGGACGCTTTTATCGTATCGCGCGCACGAATCACGTGTATAAGTGATAGTTTGGATTTTCCACCGTTTTCGCAAAGACGTCGAAATATCGATTCGATACTTCAAAGAAGCCGGATTCGTACGGGATTACGCCGCTTTCAATTCCTGCTTCGATACACCGGTCGATTCAGTTGTCCACGAGTGTATCTCACCCGCGCTGCATCGCGTGAACCCTGTCTATATCTCTCTACATCCGATTACGTCGTCGGATTCGTCGCGAGGCTCCTCCACTTCTCTGACGCATCATCCACATTCTTCGGTTCGCACCGATGAATTCTTTTGGCGACGATCCCACCACCCTCTTCGCTCTTGTGTACCTTCCGACGATTTATGCGGTTATCGGAAGTCCCGCGACGCACCTCGGGGGTTACCGCGTTATACCCACGACTCTCGTCTCGAGTTCGAACCGCGATAAAACTTCACGCGCCGGATTTTATTCCCTGTGTTTTCGTTATTCTTCCCTCGCTCGCTTGACGCCTGTTGCTCGCCCGTGCAGGCGAATCCCGCGTCGTTTTATCACTCGACGTCAAAGTTGCCGCGCGAAATCTATGACTTCCTTTATACTTAAGTATCGATATCGAGGTGAGTTATGTGCGGCAGCTCGATCTCGCGAAAGACTGCGACGCGCGAGTATCCCCCGCGACTATTCGTGACACCGGCAAGCCCCTTAGAATTGGACTTGTACGAGAGCACGTCGAGAAGCACGTGCACGTAACGAGTCGCGATGTGTGTCATACGAAATAGCGGTCGCGATCGGATGAGCCGGTCTGTATCGGGTAAGAGGAAAAAAATCAAACATCGTTGATACATTACGAAAACGATCGTGACTTTTTAATTGCGGGAGTGAAGGGATCCCGCGATCAACCCCCGCGTCTATACCGATAGGCGCGCGCGGTCGCGAAGTTTACAAACGAGATGCAAGCCGCGAGGATTTCACAAGTGGAAAAGGAGCGTCGGGGCGTGGCGCCTCTCTCGACTCTGATTTACGACCGGTTAAGAACCGCGTATTATCGCCACATACAACTAATCCTTTCCAGTGTATTTCCTTCTCCCCGTCTCCCTTATTGTCCCATCTGTGCGTCGCCTCACCCCTCGTGTTCTCCCCCGATCACCCCTTAACCCTCTTTCGCATCGGTCACCCTCCTCCCACGTTTCGTATCTATCCGTCCTTCCTCTTCCTCTCTCTCTCTCTCTCTCTCTCCCTCTTGCGCTTCCTCCTTTCCCTAACCATCTTACCTCTAACCGTCCATCCGTCTCTCCTGCCCCTTTCTCCCGCACTATCCTCTACGCTTTGCCCTCATCTCTCTCTCCCTCTCTTTCCCTCTCGCGCCTCCTTTCTCCGTCGCCCCCCAGGTTCCTCTTGTTCCCGTTCCCGTTGTCGATTCAACAAGTGCCCGGTCACGCTTCGCAAATATCGCACGTAAGAGGAGGAGACGCCGGAGATTACGGGCCGCATCCGTAGTCGGGCGCGCGCCCCATTCGCCGAGTTTCGCCGAAATTTTCAAGTACATGTCCCGAGTACGCGTACCCCGGGCGCTCCGTGGGAGGTAATCGGGAGACAACGACCAAGTTTCGCCCGATCGACGAAATTATTAACCCGCGTTACGCGTACACCCTCGTTCTCACGGGTTTATCTCCCTTCCAACGCACTTTCACGACACGTGCGTCGAGATTCACTCGCTTCGAATGGATCTTCGCGTGATAATCTGAAACTTGCGAATCTCTTCGGCAATTTGGACGAACAATTCGTATTATTATTCGCGCGGTATAATCTATCGGCGTGGAAGAAGCGGGGAATAAAATAAAAGTGTCAGAGATATTTTTTATACCGCTCGATAATAAGCGACGTGTAACCAGTACATAATTCAAAACAACGAAAATGTTAAAATACTTTATCGAACGATTGAATTAATTTCATTTCCTCGTCACAGATTCGCTCGAAACGGCTTTAAATCCTTATTCAAGGACTCGCAAAGTGAGCTGTTGCGGCGAATGTCGCTTTTAGTTTGGAAAAAAAAGAAGAAAGAGAAGTTGCTCGGAAAAGAGTTGGCGTCATTCTCTCGGCGGCTAGAAGGCGAGATTAGATCCGTCGCGTTGTTTTTCCTCCACGATGATTCCACGAACGTTCCTCGGAGCTCCGAGCTCCGGCCGGTTGACCACGTCGCGTTGGAAGGAGAATCTCCGCGAGCGAGTCATATTCCAAGTAGGCCGCTACGGCCGGCTGCGGCGGATGTACGCGGTCGCAAGAGCGAGCCGCTAGAGACACTCGAGTCAGGCCAGGGACGTAGCTACCACGTGCGGCAAGTAGAAAACGCTTCGGAGGTATAGTCCGCCCGTCTTGACTGATAAGACAAAACTGGGTCACTCTCGGGTATAAAATTATACACACAAATTCATGTGTATCTTCGATTGCGAGAGGCCGAACGGCGGCGGAACTTGAATAGCAAAACTGCGACACACACCGCGATCATATGGCGTAATTACGCGATAAGGGAACCGAATCACGAAGAAGTTTATACAATTTATTGACTTCCTTTTTCGATTTTATCAAATTTAGAATTTCTTACTGTTGATGTTTTATAGGATATATAACGGAATCATGTACGGAATACAGCGGCGGAGTATAGCGGGAATGTACATTCGCGGCGCGGCGTCGCGCATTGGCTTTGCCTACAGTCTCCACCAGTCCAGTCGTTCACCACAAGCTCGGTCACCACATCGTTCACTACGCTCTGTGTAGCGGAGCCCGCCGCTATCAGCGCAGCTCGAGGCGGCGTTGGTAATGACGCGCGGACGCCGAGTTCGATGGAAACGCGGTGACGTTTGTTCCCCGAGCCATTAGATCGTCCCGTTCGCGCGCACGAATTTCGCTTACAAAATGTTCCGAGCGCGCGCGGCTTCGTTTACATTGTCCGTGAACGAACGGACAACATATGAAAATTAATGGAACTTAATATTTCGTCGGCCGCTCAGCACAGTGGAACGACGAACGTCTCACATGCGCACGTTATCAGTTTTCGCTTATGAAAAGACGTGCGCTACCACGCGTCGGTGACTTCCAACTTTTCGGAGCAAGAAAAAAAAGAAACGTGCGAGTGTCAAGCCGGAGGCTCTCGACTGTCAAGGCACTATAAAATCATTTCGTTCCGCAGTTGTCGCGACTTTCAAAAAGTTATGTATTGCATGAAAAGAAAGACGCGCCTCTCCTTTTTCTTGAGAGTAGGGGGAGGGGGACGAAAGAGAGACTTTAAATTTGATAAGCCGTAAGTTGTAAACGTTCGGGATAGGAATAGTATCCGCAACTATTTCTAACGCGAATTTATGAAAGTTGTGCGCGAATTATCAAAGTTTGGTAAGTGGCAATTCGCTCTATAATCGAGTCGAGCGACGAAAGTCAAAGAGACGATAATCGACTTCGGTAACGAGATTAATCGTGTGATTATGAGGAGGGGGCAGAAGGGATTCGCGTCTTCTTCCTTCATTTTGAATTTCATGCGTCCGTATGCCCAGGGGGACCGGAGTATCATCGTTATCCTTTTCGGTCGACCTGGCGACTATCGCCGTCGCTATTTCGTCAGGTCTCCATCCAGTAGTACTCTCAGCATTTTTTATTATATACATGTATATGTACACGTATGTATATCGTTCCTCTTTCCTATCCTTCCGTGAAATCAAACGTCATGTGGAGGCCACGTGGACTCGGCCAGCCGACAAACATGTCGCTGGTGACATCTCACGGTATCTCCGAGCACAACCGAGCACGCTATCGCGGCGATACATTCCCCCGCGTCCCTCTCTCCCTCCCTCTCCCCC